AATTCCTGAGCCAGCCGTGCTGAGGGGAAATGGAGAGGTTTCCAAGCTGAGCCAGGCTGGCTCAGGAATTCTGGGAGTTGAAGTCCACAAGTCATGAGGGGGCCATAATTCCCCCATGCTGGCTCAGGAATTCTGGGAGTTGAAGTCCACGAGTCACAAAAGAGCCAAGGTTGCCTAGCCCTGGTCTAGCTGAATGTAACCCCTAGCTGAATGTATTAATTAAATTATTATAACATTATTATAATAATTATAATGCTATTATAATTATTAATAATAATTTATTAATAATAAATAAATAGATTAAAAAGGAAACATAAGACAAACTTGAAGGACATTTTGATGAAACTGTGGGCTTGGATCCAGACCAGGGGCCTTCAAACTTGGCCCTTTTATGACCGGTGGATTCAACTCCCAGAATTCCTGAGCCAGCCATGCTGAGGGGAAAGGGAGAGGTTTCCAAGCTGAGCCATGCTGGCTCAGGAATTCTGGGAGTTGAAGTCCACAAGTCATAAAAGAGCCCAGGTTGCCTACCCCTGAATTAGACTTTAGGCCTAGGGTAGGGGTCTTCAAACTTGGCTCTTTTATGACTTGTGGACTTCAACTCCCAGAATTCCTGAGCCAGCCGCACTGAGGGGAAAGGGAGAGGTTTCCAAGCTGAGCCATGCTGGCTCAGGAATTCTGGGAGTTGAAGTCCACAGGTCATGAAGGGGCCATAGTTCCCCCTTGTTGGCTCAGGAATTCTGGGAGTTGAAGTCCACAAGTCATGAAGGGGCCAAAGTTTCCCTCATGTTGGCTCAGGAATTCTGGGAGTTGAAGTCCACGAGTCATAACAGAGCCAAGGTTGCCTACCCCTGTATCTAGTCCAACTCCCCCCCCCCCCGCTCAAGCAGGAGACCCTTGATCAGGGGTCTCCAAGCTTGGCGACTTTCAGACTCGTGGACTTCAACTCCCAGAATTCCTGAGTCGGCATGGCTCAGCTTGGAAACCTCTCCCTTTCCCATCAGCATGGCTGGCTCAGGAATTCTGGGAGTTGAAGTCCACCTTCCCTACCACCCATACGTAATTCACTTGTCCTGTTTTTGCTTTCAGTTAGTTTTTAATCTCCATTTTGGGGTAAAACCTGAGAGCAGTCTTTGCCTTGAAAGACATTAAGAAAACCATTTCAGAACAAAACAGGATTGTGAATAGTTCCCTTCCTGTATTTATTTATTTATTGTCAATAACTTAGTGTCTTCCTCAGTCATTCTTTATGCATCACCAGTTTCTCTTTCTGCTGCTTTCTTCATTTGTTATTCAAAGAAAGAACGCCATCCTGGAGTGTTCCTTAGGGTGTTACCTTTAGTTTAATTAATTTAAAATAATAAATAATAAAATTTAATTAAGGCATGTATGGGGACAATGACTTTGACAAAGAACTGTGATCTTTGATTTTGAGGATCTGTTCCTCATTGCAGACGTTAAAAGCTTGACTATGCATGTCAGTTTTTCATCAGTTTATTGGCTTGTCAAGCCTTTAGTCAATAACAGATTAACAGAAATTGATGTTAAAATCAAAAGCACATATTTTACCATGGAACCTAGCAAGAAAGGTCATTCCCACCCCAACCTATATTTCCCTAGAGTCACAATGGAAGAAGGGGGCAGATAACGAGATATTTTGGTTATGAAGGAAGTGGATCCCTTAAGATCTTCACTGTGATGCTCAGATGGAAAGGAAAAATAAGATTTGCCTTTGAGCTGACTTAAATGAATATCCTCCTCCTCCCCACAAACCCTGCTCCCTAGTTGGGTCATGAAATGTCTGCAAAAAATCAACCAAGCTCAGAGAGCATCAAGGACCCCACAGTCCTTTTCTTCTCCTCCTCTTCCTCTTCTTCTTCCTCTTCCTCCTCCTCCTCCTCCTCCTCTTCCCTGCACACCTCTTTCCCTTCTAGCACTGACAATGTTACCTAGTTGGGTAATGAAATGTCTGCAAGAAAACAATCAAGTTCAGAGACCACTAAAGATCTCACAGTCCTCCTCCTCCTCCTCCTCCTTCTTCTTCTTTTTNCCTCCTCCTCCTCCTCCTCCTCCTCCTCCTCCTCCTCCCCATAATCCCCCCTTCCTTCTAGCACTGATGATGTTACTTACTTGGGTCATGAAACGTCTGCAAAAAAACACAACCAAGCTCAGAGAGCACCAAGGACCCCAGAGTCCTTCTCCCCCCCCCTCCTCCTCCTCTTTTACCACTTCAGGTGTTCTGGTTCTTGCTCATCCTACTGATTATAATTAATTCTTCCAGACCATTAGAAATTGGGGAGAGGTGACCACTGAGTGACCCTTGAGATGACCGTTGAGAAAACGGTCAGAGAAGTTGTCGATCAGCTTGACTGGGGAGAATCCCGTACCCCCCCTCAGTTGGCTCGGAAAATCCTTTGATTACGCTGGCCAAAATAACACGATTATTTTCCTCTTTTGCCATTTCCTCTGCCGTACAGGTAGTCCTCGACTCACGACCAACAACTCAGCCCAAAATTTCCGTTGCTAAGCGAGACAACTGTTAAGTGACTTTTGCCCCATTTTACAGCTGGGTTTTATAAAACCTTTTCGCTTTAGGCCTCCGCCTCCGTGTGCAAAAAAAAAAAAAGGTTCAGTCAGTCAATTTCAACTTCTCGTGGGAAAAAAAAAGATCTTGCAAAGTTGGAATTGATTGATTGAACTTTTTAGTCCCACCCAGTCTGCCGTTACCACCGCAGCCACGCCCACCCAATGGGCCACACCCAGCCAATGGGCCACACCCACCCGGCACCCGACGATGCATAAGCGGGTTTTGGGTTGCAGTTTGGGCACTCGGTCTCTAAAAGATTCGCCATCACTGCTATAAAGCAAAGGCCCCCAACCTTTTGGGCACCAGGAACTGGTTCCGTGGAGAGAGGTTTTTCCGTGGACCGGAGTGTGTGTGTGGTTTTGTGTGCTACCTGCATCCCGCGGATGGGGCTTTGCTTGTTTGTGCGGACCGGTTGCTGGCATGCCACGGCCCGGTACCGGTCCAGACCGGGTTTTGGGGACCCCTGATTTACACAATGCACTGAGTCATAAGCTAGCCAAGCAGGCACCAAGTGTGATCTAATTCATGTTCTATGGAAGCTGCAACCTCTATACAGCCCATGGTTAACAAGCACATTTCTGCACAGCTGCTGCGAGTGGCTTCTAAGTACACACACTCATAATTAAGTGTCACCAAGCTAGATGCAAAATGTGGGTTGCAGGCGTTAGTGAAACTACCGGAACCAAACAGATTGATTCCCTTAAATTACTACATTGATGTTCAGATAGGCCCTAGAGCAGAGGTCCCCAATCTTTTGGGAGCACTAGGGACCGGTTCCGTGGAGAGAGGTTTACTCACGGACCGGAGTGTGTGTGTGGTTTTGTGTGCTGCCTGCATCCCGCGGATGGGTCTTTGCTTGTTTGTGCGGACCGGTTGCTGGCATGCTGCGGCCTGGTACTGGTCCACAGATTGGGGGATTGGGGACCTCTGTTCTAGTCCAACCCCCTGCTCAGGCAGGAAACCCTATACTATTTCAATCACCCACCCACCCATCCAATCAATCAATCAATCAATCAATCAACCAATCAACCAATCAAAATAGAGCTGGAAGGGACCTTGGAGGTCTTCTAGTCCAGCCCCCTGTTCAAGCAGGAAACCCTATACTATTTCAGTCAACCAATTGTGGGAAGTTAGCCCCCCCAGAGAAAGAAATATTTTGGGAAATATTTAAAAGGCAGAATATATTTCCCTAAAGGATTTTAAAAGCAGAAACCAACCCCGCCCCCAAGTCTCTCTGTCCCAAACAGGAACCAAGTCTGTAAAACTGCAGATGTGATAATCTTGTCAGAAAGACTGGAGTCAGGAAACTGGGATTAGGAAGAAAGATCCCTAGAATCAACACACCAAAAATCTAAGAGTCATCAGCCCCAGCCCCAGGGAAGCAGGATATGACCCTTGGGACATAATAGGATTAACCCACCACCAGACTCAGGTCACAGTTAATGCCACAGGAACAACTCCAAACAAAAGTCTCCAGAGGGTATAAAAACCCACTCCCTACATGTGCTCCCTCTCTCTTTTCTTCCAGAGCCATCTTTCTGTCTGGTTCTCCTCTCCAATAAACTGCAACCTTCTTTCTAAAGCAGTCACCATGTTGTTTATTCCCGGCTTGGACTGAACCCCGATGAAGACTTTTCCTTCAACACAATCACTCAGAATAGAGCTGGAAGGGACCTTGGAGGTCTTCTAGTCCAACCCCCTGCTGAGGCAGGAGACCCTATATCATTTCAGACAAATGGTTGTACAATCTCTTCTTAAAAACCTGCTGTGTTGAAGCATCTCTGTCTATGATATAGTCTGCTGTAAAACTAACAGTCAGACTTGCCTTCTGCACACGGCCACCTGACTTAAGAAACAGCAGGTCCATTTCCTCCTAAAGTAGCAGAGGACACCCTGACCCAAAACGGCCAAATATTTTCCCCCTTCTGTGCAAAGGATATGGTGCACTAGACTATATGTTCTTATCTGACTTACATGCAAAGGCAGGTCTGACGAGAGGGAATAGACTCATTGCCTGGTTGAATCTATATAATCGTATGTGCTTGCATGCACACTCGACCGCAAAGTCCCAATGAATAAATAATGGAACTGAAAAACAACACAAGTCAAAGAGGAAACAGAAGATGTGAACCCCTGGAAGAAGGAAGGAGTAAAGTTAAAGAAGAAGACGGAAGCTTTGAGAAGCCAACAATGGACAGGCAGGGGAGAAAGGCAGTTATCACATAAAGCAGAGGCAGGAGGGAGAGTTAGAGGCCATTAGGAAAGTTCAAGAAATAGTAGAGGTATTTAGAGAATCCAATCAAGAAGCAAAATCCAACAAACTTAAAAAAAGGGGGGGAACCTCCATTACTTGGAGAAGCAAGAAGTGGCGTGGAAGAGAAGAGGGAGAGTCGATGAGTAGTGGATGACAAGAATGAGTTGGTCTTCAGAGGAGGAGGAGGAGGAGGAAGAGGAGGAGGAGGAGGACTTGGAGGAAGACGAGGGCTGTGAAAGAAAGAAGAATCCGAGAAAAAGGGACTCGGCAGAGGTGAGAAGTGAAGACTCATCTGAAGACAGCAGTGAGGAGAGGAAGAAGAAAAAGAAGAAGAAGAAGAAAAGAAAGAAAGAATACAGCGACAATAATGAGGATGAGGATGGCCACAAAAGAAAGAAGAAAAAGAAGAAAAAGAAAGGTCAAAAGTCCAAGAAGAAAGAGAAGAAGAAGACGAGAAAGGACGACGAGAACTTTGCAGAGATGTACAAACAGGAGCTTCTCGATTATCATTCGGAATCTTCCCGGGAAACTGAAGATGAATACAACAAGAAAAAAGGTGAGATGGAGGAGTTGATTAAAATGTGGTGGGTTTTTTTTTTTGAGCTGTTGCTTCTAATGGTTGAGTGCAGTGGTTTTTGACCTGTGGTCTGCAGGGGTCTGCAGGATGCGCCATATCATCATAGGGCAGGGGTCTTCAAACTTGGCCCTTTTATGACTGGTGGACCTCAGCTCCCAAAATTCCTCAGTCGGGCATTTTGATGAAAAAGTGGGCTTGGATCCAGACCAGGGGTCTTCAAACGTGGCCCTTTGATGACTGGTGGACTTCAACTCCTAGAATTCCTCAGTCGGCCATTTTGATGAAAAAGTGGGCTTGGATCCAGACCAGGGGTCTTCAAACTTGGCCCTTTTATGACTGGTGGACTTCAACGTGTGCCTGGCTGAGAAATTCTGGGAGTTGAAGTCCACAAGTCATAAAAGGGCCAAGTTTGAAGACCCCTGTCATAGGGGGTCCACGAAGGCTTGAAAAAAAATGTTATGATTTAAAACTTGAGTTACGTCTTGGGGGGCCATGGCCATAAAAGGTAAAGAGGGTCCGGGATGAAGATAAAGGTTGAGAACCACTGGATAGAATAGAATAACGGAAGGGACCTTGGAGGTCATCAAGTCCAGCCCCCTGCTCAGGCAGGAAACCTTATACCATTTCAGACAAATGGCTGTCCAGTCTCTTCTTAAAAACTTCCAGTGTTGGAGCATTCACCGCTTCTGGAGGCAGGTTGTTCCACTGGTTAATTGTTCTAACTGTCAGGAAATTTCTCCTTAGTTCTAGGTTGCTTCTCTCCTTGATGAGTTTCCATCCGTTGCTTCTTGTCCTGCCTTCAGGCGCTTTGGGGAATAGCTTGACTCCCTCTTCTTTGGGGCAGCCCCTGAGATATTGGAACACTGCTAGGCGCAAGGTCAGCTAATTAGTCAAAGGCAGGACTGCTCCTGAAATAGATGGGTTATCGCAGTGAAATATAATGAAATCAGGACATTCTACCTATGAAATAGTAAGTTAATTGTGGAAACCTCTAGACCACGGGTGGGGAACCACGGCCCTTTTATGACTTGTGGACTTCCTGGCTCGGGAATCCTGGGAGACGATGCCCACCAGTCTTAAAATTGCCACGTTTGGAGACCCCGTTGTTCCCGATAAACATTGATTATGATATGGCTGCCATTCATTGTCACGTATCTTTTACGTGCCAGCAGATAGTGGCTGAAACACATTGTGGTGATTTGTGAGGCTTTTACACGCCTTGTTGTGACAGCTCTCCCCAGTAGGTCAATCCAGGTGCAGGTAAAATGATCAGCAGCGCACAGAGGTAAAAGCAAAAGAAATAGAAAGGTCTGCAGTGTGCGGAAAAACGCCATCTTGGAGTAAATCCATTACATTTTATCTTCTCTCCAGCTTGGAGAAGAAGGGTGTAAAAACGTCACCCATTCTGTGAGGCATTTCATTTGTCAATACTCTAAATGTAGCAGGAAGGGAATCCTGTGCGACTCCATCCTCTCGTCGTACTGCATGAACAGCGTGAATAACAGAATAACAGAGTTGGGAGGGACCCTGGAGATCGTCTAGTCCAACCCCCTGCTCAGGCAGGAGACCCTATACCATTTCAGACCAATGTCTGTCCAGTCTCTTCTTAAAAACTTCCAGTGTTGGAGCCTTCACCGCTTCTGGAGGCAGGTTGTTCCACTGGTTGATTGTTCTGACTGTCAGGAAGTTTCTCCTTAGTTCCAGGTTGCTTCTCTCCTTGGTTAGTTTCCATCCGTTGCTTCTTTTTTTTTTTTTTACACATTTTTTATTAATTTTTCAAATAAACATAAACAAATAATACAAATATGGTGCATTTCATTAGAAAAACAAACACATAAAAAGCCTACTCAGAAATAGTCGGCGGTCCCCCCGCTGCATCCACACTCCCTCCACCTTCCTACCTACTTCCCTCTTCCTTCCTCCCCCTCTTAACCACAACCTCTCCTCTTTCCTCCTTCCCAACTATCCTACACATCCCATCACCTTCTTTTCCACCACCTCGGATGCAGTTTAGGGGTACTAGCCGATCATCTCCTCTTCTTAAAGACAAACATTTACATTATATTTATAAATACACCAAATTTTATATAATTCTACCCCTTCATCCCCTTCCCCCCNTCCCCCCCCCCGGACTTCCCAGAACTGAGTACAGGGATAAATACATAACATCCCAAGTCTAAATTAAGCTATCCATTCATAATACAAACAAAATTAACATACTTTAACTCTAACATACAAAACTTAAATATAATATATATATATATAAATTATATTAAATATATAAAAATATTAGAAAAGAAAAATATTTATTCAAAAGCTATATGATAATTAATCACTTCATACTTTCTCATAATATAATCTATCCATCTTCTCCATACCAAGATAAATTTTTCTTGAGATTGATCGTTCAAGTATGCGGAAATTTTTGCCATTTCTGCAAAGTATGACACCTTCAATCTCCAATCATCCATAGTCGATAATACCTCTTTCTTCCAGTTTTGAGCAATCAGTAATCTTGCTGCTGTTATACAGTACAACATCAAATTCATTTCTTTAGGATCCAAATTTTCCATAATACCCAGTAAAAATAATTGCGGTGTAAATTTTATCTTCTTCTTAAAAATCTGTTGAATATTCCACCAAATCTTAATCCAGTTCCACCATCCGTTGCTTTTTGTCCTGCCTTCAGGTGCTTCGGAGAATAGCTTGACCCCTTCGCCTTTGTGTTGGCCTCTTAGATATTGGAACACCGCTATCATGTTACTCCTAGTCCTTCTTTTAGTTAAACTAGACATACCCAATTCCTGCAAACGTTCTTCGTATGTTTTAGCCTTCAGTCTAACTAAACAGTCTAAAAAAGGCAGCTGAGTGAAGGCTGGGAAAAGAGATGCAAAAAATAACATGGCACAAATTACAGAAGACGCACTTCCATTGCTGTAAGGTTAACAGAACGACAGGGTTGGAAGGGACCTTGGAGGTCATTTAGTCCAACCCTATGCTCCGGCAGGAGACCTGATACCATTTCAAACAAATGGCTGTCCAGTCTCTTCTTTAAAAAACTTCCAGTGAAAAAGGGGCTTGAGAAGAAGGAGAAAGAAGAGACACAGAGATTGGGGCAGAGAAAACAGCTGCTGGACTGTTGGGCAATCAACTTGGTGAGACCCCGTGAACGGCGGAGTTAAGAAAAGCCATCTTTTAGAGCTGGGGTCTCCAATCTGTGGGCTGTGGCCCGCTACTGGGCCGTGGCCTATTGGCCAGTGGGCTGAAGGAATGGCTGGCAAGTGCATGCGCCCCCACTCGTGCTAGCGGCCCCGTTTGTGCATGTGCAGGAGCTAGCCTCACCACCAGAGTCACGCGGTCGCTAGCTTCCCGTTTGCCCATGCGCACAGTCGCTACCGGCCCGTTTGCAGGTTCCAGCATCCCACTTGCGTGGGTGCATAGGCACCCGGCCTGCTGCCAGCACCGCCCTGTGTGTGTGTGGTCCACTTGTGCATGCGTACGGATGCTGGCGCCGCCATCATGCGCGCACCCCTATGTGCATGCCTGGTGCACACATACATTTCTCTGGTTCCCTCTTTCCCTCGGGGCTTCCAATCCGAAAGGGTTGGGGAACACTGCTTTAGGGACTATGAGAAACCTATTCTGCCCTAGAAATATTATATATGTTATTTGCTTTTGCAATTCTACTGCTGTTAATTTTATTCTTTCATACAGTTTGGTCATGGATGGATATTTTATTTTCAAACACCACAAAGAACCGCAGCAATTGATCAAATCAATAAATAAATTCATTTAAGCCCCAATTTCCACAACTCTCTCTCTCTCTCTCTCTGCACCAGTACAGGGAGTCCTCAAACGTAGAGTAGAGTAGAGTAGAATAGAAATTGAAATATGGAATATGGAATATGGAACAGAACAGAACAGAACAGAACAGAACAGAACAGAATAGAATAGAATAGAATAGAATAGAAATTGGAATATGGAATTGAATAGATATTGGAATATATAGAACAGAACAGAACAGAACAGAATAGAATAGAACAGAGAATAGAGCTGGAAGGGACCTTGGAGGTCTTCTAGTCCAGCCCCCCCGCTCAAGCAGGAGAACCTATACCATTTCAGACAAGTGACTGTCCAGTCTCTTCTTAAAAACTTCCAGTGATAAGAGCACCCACTTTTTCTGGTGGCAAGCTGTTCCACTGGTTGATTGTCCTCCCTGTCAGGAAGTTTCTCCTTAATTCCAGGTTGCTTCTCTCTTTGGTCAGTTTCCAACCATTGTTTCTCGTCCTTCTCTCTCTGGTGCTTTGGTGAACAACCTGGCCCCCTCTACCTTGTGGCAGCCCCTCAGATACTGGAACACTGCTATCATGGTTGTTACCTGTACTTAAGGCTTGAAGTTGGGGAAAGAAACATTCTACAGGAAGGCAGAGATAAACCACTTACCTATTTTTGCCAAGATAAATGCACGGTTACAGTATGTCTGTGTAGTCACCGGGAGTCAAAGCTCAGTTAAATAACATTTTTTTACTTTTGCCTTACAGTCTAATATAAAGACTAAGTAGTAGTAAACTGGGGCTTACTCCATTCGACTTAATAACATGTTGTTCTTAAGGGCTGTAAGAATTATTATCCCCTTCTGACGTTCGGCCCTTTAATTCAGTGTATTTGCATAACACGGACACCGAATTAGCAACTTTCCCACCTTTTAGCCCAGCATGATGGCTGAACTAGTCCGTGTGGTTAGTTTATGGTTTAATCTTGTCTGTAAAACCCAGGAAATTAGGTTAATTGAATAATTTATGGTTCAATTAACCATGAATAAATAAATGAACATATAATATTACTTCCGTGGAAGGAGACGATTAAGCAGAGAGATTGCACGGATACCCGGAGGGGAGCGATACACACAAACAATCTACAAGTTATCTTGCATTGTTAAGTAACCAACGGAATGGTTGGAATAAAGACGGGAAAAAAATAATTCCAGACTTTTTCCCCACTTGCTTTATTAATAAATATTTCTACTAAGACGAAGGGTCTAGGATTCAGTTAACAAGTAATAACAACAATGATGATGATAATAATAATAATAATAATAATAATAATAATAATAATAATAATAATAATAATAATAATAATAATAATAATAATAATAATAATAAAGTTGGAAGGGACCTTGGAGGTCATCTAGTCCAACCCCCTGCTCAGGCAGGAAACCCTAGATCATTTTGGACAAATGGCTGTCCAGTCTCTTCTTAAAAACTTTCAGTGTAGGAGCATTCACCGCTTCTGGAGGCAGGTAGTTCCACTGGTTAATTGTTCTCACTGTCAGGAAGTTTCTCCTTAGTTCTAGGTTGCTTCTCTCCTTGATCAGTTTCCATGATCCGTTGCTTCTTGTCCTGCCCTCAGGCGCTTTGGAGAATAGCTTGACTCCCTCTTCTTTGGGGCAGCCCCTGAGATACTGGAAGGCTGCTATCATGTCCCCCCTCGTCCTTCTCTTCGTTAAACTAGACATACCCAATTCCTGCAACCGTTCCTTATATGTTTTAGCCTCCAGTCCCCTGATCATCTTTGTCCCATTTTATGACCTTCCTTGCCACAGTTATTAAATGCATCGCTGCAATTATTAAGTTGGTAACACGATTCTTAAGTGACCGTGGGGGCGTTTTATCAGGTACGCCTGATACACCAGTTGCGGCCTTTTCTGGACCGGGACGCCTTGCGCACAGTCACCCATGCCCTCGTCACCTCCTGCCTGGACTACTGTAATGCTCTCTACATGGGGCTCCCCTTGAGGAGCACCCGGAGGCTCCAACTGGTCCAGAATGCGGCCGCGCGGGCGGTGTTGGGAGGGACT